CCCGCAGGCAGCCCTCCCAATAAAACAACTCCATCAAAGACGAGGCGGGTGAGAAAGGAGGGACGGGCACCCTCGAGCTGGAGCCAGGCAGGGACCGCGTGCCCCCGGGGCATCACGGCCACCCCTGGAGCCTGCTCCATTTGGCGCACCGGCTGGGACGGCCAGTAGTTTTCCCTGTTAGAGAAAGGAGGACCCTTGGGCCCAGAGCAGGTAGGAAGGAGTCATGAAGGGAGCAGACTCTTAACCCAGCACTGCGGTTAGGGGGAGTCAAAGGAAAGGGATACTGTCCCTGATGTAAAGGGCCCTCGGGGTGCCAGACGCTGTTCTGACAGCTAGCGAAGGGGTTACTGCACTTGCTGGGTCAACAACAGGCCACGGTCAACGAGCAAGCCCAGAAATGGGATGCGCACGTGCTGAGCGCTGAACTAATTCAACAGAGCTCCAGCTTTATAAAAACTTCCACACTTTTCTGCCTTGGAAGAATTTGCCTTTTTAGCCTATTTTAAAAACAAGCTTGAGAATACAGTCTTGCCCATGCTCCTGTGCTTGAAATGGTCTTCAACCTTTTTCAACAAGTCCCTTAGCTTTACTGATTTTCTTCTCCCAGGCTCCCTCAGATTCCCTTCATCATGGAGATCTCCCTTGGCAGTCTGCATAGTGTTTAGGAGCCACTTTTTGTCGAACGTGTGCCGTTCACCGAATCCCTCCTCCACCATTTCTAGCACCGCATCAAGCAGCTGTTCGCTTTCTGTCTTCTTCAGTACACCTTGCAAGTCAGGGCGGTGCCTTTTCGCTTCCTCCATGTTTTGGATTCCTGCTTTTCCAAACTCGTTTGCGCACAAGCTGGAAAGACCCCGACAAAACCATGTCACATGGTCAAGCTCGTGGGCTACCTGGGTGTGGCAGAGTGGGGCTACCTGACTAGCCACGGTGCTACTTTCCCCTCCTGCCTCTGGGCACACCACCCACCTGTCTCTCCTGCCACACCTTGTTGTTACATAATTAGGATGTTAATTAGGTGGGAGGCTGCCCATTTTTGCCGCAATGCCAGGGGGGCGCTATCCGCGGCTCCATTCCTCCCCTACGCCGCAGCCCAAGCCTCGCAGATGGCATGCAGATGACAATCCTGCCAGCTTACAGCCGGGCCAAGCTTAGCTCTCGTTGTCAGGTCTCAGACACACACACATTCGTACCGCCCTCCTCTCACTAGGGCCTCTCGCACTCCACCCCTCTCACAGGGTCTCTTTCACGCCTCGACATCTTGTAGTGCCTCGCTCCCTCTTGGAGCGGGCGCTTTAGGCCATAGGCTTTAGCTAGCTCCTACCTTGGGTGGCAGATGTACCGTGTTTTGGGCTTCTCCCGTGACCCTCACCAGGGTAGTGGCCGCCACTTACCTGACCGGCTCTAAGCTTGCCCTGGCCCCTTCCGGGGCAACTGTATACCCTCCCCCACACACATGCTGGCTCCCAGCCCTCTGGGTTTCCCCTCTTCACTGGGGCTCCACATCACTGCCCTTCGCTGGGGCCACCCCCTCACTGGGGCTACGGGGCTTCCCTCCGCGGGGGGCTCAGGTGGCCCCTTCTGGGTCTTACACCCTCCCTGGCCTCAGGTGGCTACAGCCGTTCCTGGCCTCCTTATACCCACAATGTTGTGGGGGCTAGGGGTTAAGGTGCCCCGCCCCACCTTTCACCAGGGTGGTAACTGGCCTGGCATTTCCAAGGGACTCCTGCACCACCGGGAGCCCCACCAGACCACCCACCCCTGGCAGAGTGCAGTTTTAGGTCGTGCCCAGGACCAGGAGCCTCCAAACCAGCCCCTTAAGCTCTTGCCCTTATCTCCAGGATGTTGCATCCAGCCTTGTAGCCAGGCAATGTTACCGCCTGCCTGCCAGCAGCCAACTGCTCTGTATATATAGGCAGCCGAGCTCTAAAATGGCGGGGCAAGCAAGCACCTGCTGGCTGCTTGGCTCAGCTCTTAAAGTGGCAGCACCAGCAGTGCCCTGCCACGCTGGGCTTGCCACGACACACATTCGAGTCAAAGGAAGTGATTCAATTTACTTGAATAAGAGCTGGATTCACTACCAATGACCTTAAGTCATCCACATACCAAGCCCCAAACCTTACTTATGGAAAAAAAACATTGTCAGTTAATGCAATGTAAGGCAGTTAGTAGGACATCAGCAGAATAAGCCCTGCAGACGATATTTCAGGGTCATTGAGTTTCTTGCGCCTTTGATCCTTTGCAGCTTTCAAGCTGCCTGGGGGTAGGAGCTAAGGGAGTAATTGCCTCAGGATCTGAGTGAGATCCTGATAGATCTACACACGAGCCTGAAGTTTGGATGACATCGCTGCCTCTGATGCATGTCACTGCCCTCCATGTCCTTCAGAGGCACAATAATAATCACTTCACAGCAAGTGGGCAGCCTTTTCCGTCTTCAGAGAAGAGACCGCCCCGCCCCCTCCCACAAACGAAAAAATCCCCTACAATGTTCTCAGGCTGCCGTTGTGTACTGCTTTCGGATTTGATGTGGCCTACAGCCACTTTCAAAATCTGGATACTATGCTCAATATTATACGTATGAAGACATGCACCAAAGTTTGACAGGACTAATGTTCAAAGCCTTCCACGGCAATGGTTCACGCACACGCAGCCTTTGCCGGGCCCCGGGCTGTGCATGCATCGCCGGGTGCAGCATTCCCACCAATCGGGGACCAGCGGGGCGGGGCTTGCCGCGTGCATGCTCGGCCGTTGCGCGGGGGGGGCGGGGCCAGGCGTGCGCGGGGGC